GCGCCGGGACACCCGGCATGCACCCGGGTATAATACTCAGCCGGGACATCCCGCACCCAGCCCTGATACCCAGCATCCATCCCTACACCGAGCCAGGACAACCTGCATTCACCCCATCACACCCCTACACCGAGCCCTGACACCCCACATCCATGCTTGCACCCAGCCAGGACACCCCACGTGCACCCCTGACACCCCACATCCAGCCCCGCACCGAGCCGGGACATCCCATATCCAGCCCTAACACCAAGCAGGGACACAGAACAGGAACATCGCACATGTTACAGAACCACAGAATATTCCAGGCTGGAAGGGACCCCCAAAGATCATCAAAGTCCAACTCCTGGCCCTACCCAGGACAGCCACAACAATCCAACCCCGTGCCTGAGAGCACTGCCCAAATATTAATATATACTCTCTATATCAATGTAAGGTCTGTACACGTGGATATTCCTAACAGCTCACAAAACACAAGGCAAGACTTGAAGTGTCACCTTACTGAGGATTCACTGACCACAAGCCAGCCCTCAGAGTCCCTCCCTCAGTCAGCCATGACCCACCTTCACTGCCCCGTTCTTAATAAACAGCAAACAGAAGCTCCTCCCTCTCCCAAACTAGCTTAATTAGGAAATCAGCTGTTAATTGATTACCAGAACTATAAAACTGCTGTAAGTAACACTGGTAGAGAAGGGTCAAGAATATCAAAGGGTCTTCACAGGAGCTGAAGGTACTATTTATTCTGTTTTCTTATTCCTTCATTTTTTTTCCAAAATGCTTAAAAAAAACAGGGTTTAGTCTCTTAAGGAAGACTCTCCTTCTAGACTGACTATTCAGCCCCATTATAGTAAATTCAGGAACTATTTATGGCTGTTTAACGTGCAGTCAGAGTAAAGTTGAGTTTGGAGTATAGCCATGCCCTTCCCTGGCCTACCCAGTCCTTCAGGAAGGAACTGAAAGTCAGCTCCTGGCTGAGCTGGAGATGAGGGTTATCATATATAGAACTTAAAGTAAGATGAGAGCTGACCCTTAGTCTCTCCCATCCTAGCCAGAGCCTGGTTTTGGTGCCTCCTTCTCAAAGGGACTTAATTCTAGCTGGGTGCTCTAACTGCAGGAGTGAGGATAAAATGCCATAAAGCTGAGACTAGTGATATGGAGGCTGAGGTGAAATAAATACAACTTCAGGGAGATTCCACTATGACCTCTGAGCAACTAACAGGCTGGAGTGGAACTATTTTACCCTAAAAAGAGTGATTGGCTGGATGCTCTCCTACATGTCCTGGATCCTGCTCAGCTCCTTGCAAGACTGAGAGAGGATTTTGCCAAAAGTGGTCCTGATACTGTAAGTCTGCAATCCATTGGTGAGTTATACTGAACAGTAACAGGTTTATCCTGATCTTTCTCCACAAGCCAGAGAGCTGCTGGATTCTGCACCATGCTGTCCACCCAGAGGCACAGCACCAGCATTCTGACCAGAAAGGAAATCCTGGAAAATGGGTTCTTGGCCAGCTCCTCCAGCCATAGCTGTTCTTCTCCTGTTGTGAGCTATTACAGGGACTCTGGCAGTGCTTCCAAACATGACACCTGGGAGCTTCCTGTGGACTTGGACAATGCAGCAAGTGGCAGTTCTCTGTGTGTTGTCAAGCAGGTGGAGTCTCCGAGCAGCTGTGTGAAGACTGAGCTGCACAGCCTGACTCAGAGCATCTCTGACCTCAGTCTTGTCTGCTTCTGCAAGGCCCACTGTGGCCAGACCACGTTTGAGCTGTCTGGTTTGCCCTGTGAGCACCCTAGCAGAGATGGCTGCCTGATGAATGTGGCATCACAGAACACCTCGACACCTTGCAAGAAAGACAAGCACTCCAAGCCACTGGAGAGCCTGCTCTTCAAGAGCTCTGAGCTGCCTGGAGATGTCTCAGCACTTGGGAAAGTGCCAGCACCCAGGTGGGACATCTCAGCAATAAAATCCTTTATGGATACCAGCATGTCCCTCGATGTCAGCACTGAGGAGTTACACTTACTGGGATGCTCCAAACCAGACACATCACCCCTGGAGACCCCTGTGGTGATTCCTCTGGCTTGGCCTGGTGCCTTCAAGAAGCACTCCATGCTGATCCGCAGGTCTGCCACCCAGGAGAGCCAGCCGAGTGACCCTGACACTGCCCCTGTGGTTCTGCACGATGCTCTGTGATGGTGCTGGATGCCTGCTCCCTCCTGCAAGGAGCAGGGATCCGCGCTGCAGCACAGGAGATGGAGCCAGCAGCTTGAGTGGTGATGGCAGCAGTGGTGACAAGCTAAATCCGCCCACCTGCGGTGGCCGAGTCCGGACTAGTGATGGGGAATGTTTGGGCTGGTGATGGCACCCCCGAGAGCCGCAGCCTTGCTGGCTCCTCCTCCCCGATCCCTCTGTTTTGTATGAGCACAATAAAGATACAAACAAACGTCTCTCTGCTGGTGGTCTCTGACTCTCGCTGCC